CTCGGCAGGCAACGGTGGGGCATCATCTAATAGCGAGAGGTGGAGCGACGCGCCGAAAAAAAGTTGTCACGCAGCGAGCGACGAGCTTCAGTATACACTCCTCGCTCGCCCCTCACCACTCGCCCCTCGCCACGCGTCGTTCGCCGCTCGACGCTCGGCTCTCGCCTCTTGCCCCTTACCCCTCGTCATTTACATGGTCGAGCGTTATCATAAAGCAATATGCATATTGCAGGTTGCTTAAAGCGTAATTGCTGGTGCATTTCCTCCATCTGAGAACAGTATTTTCCGGCATTAATGATTTTACCAGTACCGGGATTCTGTAACTTGCTATCGATGTTTTTTGGTATCGAAATTAACTAGCGACAGCAAAGACGTTAAAAGCACAGCTTTCATAGGTTGGTTAACGATACCGAAAACCATCGATAGCAAGTCACAGAATCGCCGTACAGGTTTCAAGAACGAATAATTAATAATGCCAGCTCAATAGACGTGGAGTTATTACTGCTTCGTGATAACGTTCGACCATATGTTTCAAGAACAACTGTTTAGAAATCTAGAAATTATACGAGAGTTGCAGTATGAAACTCTTTTTATTTGCTCGTTTACAAGTGTTTAAAAAGACCGCGCTTTCTGCGCGCTTGCGTGTCGAGGCGGATAGCAACAGCGGTGCGCCGGACGCGGGGAGATACGAACGCCGATCGTCGATTACTGTTTTATTAGTTACGCGTTGTCAAGCGAGACTCGGAAGAAAAAAGAGATACGTGCGTCGTTCATTCGGTCTCAGGAAGTCGTTGCGATAGTCCACGTTTGTGAGTCGGATAAAGTTTTAGTATTTTCGAGTGGTGTTTTGCGATTTCTTGTTTGCAACTGCTGAGGGAGTCGAGGTTGAGTGCGTTGCCTACTAAAATTCCGTCAGGCATCAACGGTGCAAGGACGGTGGACGTCGCCCCGACGCGACGCCGCGCTTTCGACGGCGGAGAGCGAGTGGATACAAGGCAGATGAGCAGCTGCATGCAGGAATACATTCCACCCGAGATTCGACATTAATGAGTTGTC